GCGGCGAGCCGAGGCTGGGGCCTGGGGCCGGGAGAGCCTTCCGAGCGCGGCCTCCCGCACTTCCTCGGAAAGTTCCGGTTCATCCCGCCAGGCTCCTGCCCCTCCCCAAACCCGGGGCCCTCAGCCGCCTTCCCGCTGTACGCACAGCGAGGATCAACTCCGATGATGGAAGGAGAAGGCCAGGCAGGGGAGCCCCGGAGGCAGTGTCAGCCTCCACGGTGCTAGGCACGCACAAAGACTCCGGGATTTCAGGCCAAAGGAAGAAAAGAGCTGCTGTCAGCAGAACGCAGGGGATTGGGCAAAAGTGGGTGGGGTTTGCACCTGTATGAGTCAGATTCTTGGCCAGACCTGAACTGTGATTTTGGACCTGGGCTCAGACAGAAGTGTGATGAAATCGCGTCCCAAGTGAGCCCCTGGCCTGTTATCCCTGCCCCGCCTTAACTCAAAATGGAGAAGAGGCCAAAGAGGCCTCTGGTCAGGATTCCTCCTGGGAGCACTGGTTGTGGTCCTAGTGTGCCCTAAATCACCCTGGTTACAAAAATGAATGACAACAGCCGTGCTCTAGGTGGACTGACTTTGTGGATGGCTGAGCGGTATCTTCTGGGCAGTATCTTACTGTGGTATCTTACTACGCCCACACGCCCACACGTACAGTGGGCTCACTGCACTTTAGGACTGATGGTAATCAAAGGTTCCAGCCCTGCCCTGAGGATCTGAAGCTAAATTAGGGAGAAAATCACCAGCTACTTCCTGGGATCCTGCTAGGTCCCTGCTTATCCTGAATCCAGGAAAACTCAGACTGTTACCCTGGTTTAGCAACAGGGGACACACCCATTGACTCACCTTATTCTTCCTCTGCAAGTGAACATTTAACCATGGTTTGCCAAACAACAAACCCATCATTTTCCCTCCAAAACCTATTCTTCAAACTGCTGAAGTTTGAAATATGTGAGACATCTCCAACTTGCTCCTTCATTTCCCCATATCCCTAACGTCAATAAAATCACATTTCTGGCGTGGCTTATTTCTTTCCACCAGTCTCAGTGTTCATATGCTAAACAAACTCAAAGCCTGACCTATTGCAATAGCTTTCTAAGAATCTCCTTCTTTCGCATGGCTCAAAAGTTAATTTTCCTACAGTCTGCCTTTGACTATGAGAATTTGATGCTCAAAATTGGGCTTAACACACCACTGCCTCTGTGGTCTTGGCATAGGGGGTAAAGTGCAAATTCCTTGGATTGCCAATCAAGATCTTATTTGATGTGGTTCCATCATGTCAGGGATTCCTGTGACACTTACCTTTGCTAGAAATCCTAGGATTTTCTCCAGTAATCTGTAATTGCCAGACTTGAATCCTTATGTTCTCTAAACCTCACACCTCCATACCCTTCCATTGTGCTACTGGGAAATTCCAACAAAGGATCACCACATGCTCTTCTTATAGCACCAAAGTTATTTTTCATCTTAACAAAACATAGCTCTAGGAACCCTCTCAAGTGTTGACTGCTTGTTCTTTCACACCTTGAGTTCCTCCGGACAGGAAGGAAGTCAGTCCCTGTCCTTGTTCCCCATCTCTCTTTCCAAACCATTTCTTCCTACAAACCCTCAGCTCCTGATAAACTGATGTTATTAAGTATGGTACCCTCTGCCCTTCCAGTTTGGTCATTGTTCCAGGTCACTTCCCTCATTCACTGAAGACTGTGGTTCCTGGCTCTCAAAATTCCTTGCCATACTTTTCTTGTTTTTATTCCTGAAATTATCAGCATCTAGGTGGATGGTCTCTCTGTCCCTCAGGAACAACTTCTTAAAGGGAAACCCTAGAATTTGTCACCGCCAGAATATACACTGTCTCCAAAACCTAAAGTGAAAGTGTTATGATTTGGATCTTGAATGTCTTCCAAGTGCCCCTGTGTTAAAGCCTTGCTCCCCAGGAGGACACTATTGAAATCTTTAAGAGGTGGGGCCTACTGGGAGGTCTTTAGGCCATTGGGGGCATGCCCCTGAAAGGGATTGCAGAACCCCAAGCCCTACTCTCTCTTCTTTGCTTCCTGGCTTTGTTCTTCCCTCCACACCCTCCATGAGGTACTGCCTCAATGGAAGCCTAAAAGGAATGAGCTGATCATGGACTGGAACCTCCAAAACATGAGCCAAAATAAACCTTTTCTCTTTTTGAGTTGATTACCTCAAGTGACAGAAGCCAGAAGGCATCTCAGCCTGCCCAGGCCTCCTAGGCTTACAGTTCACTGGCTCTAGAAACCTTACCTGCAGCACACCCACTTACCTTGACACCTGAGCTGCTGATGCAGCCACTTACCCAGAGTCCCTCAGGCTGCCACATCCTTGCCTGTCGACAAACTAGATCCCATAGTTCTCATCCTTTGCTTACAGCCTTGCCATGTTCTTCACAGAAACACGGGTGAACTCTGGTTTTAACTATGTGGCCAAATTCAGCTACAGAAATATCGCAGTCTTCATAAAATAAGCCTTGGATCACTACTAATCCCTGCCCTGAAATGGACTCCATTTCCCTAGACAGTTTGATGGACTGTTTTTTTGGATGCTTCCGCTTCCCCTCTACTCCCATCCCCATACCACGCGGGTCACCATCCCTCTCAGCCATCAGTGTTTGCTTCATACTTTTCTCAGCAAGGCCAAGCCAAACTTATGAACCTTCTCATCTTTCCACTGCCAGATCTGTACACACGTCCATGGCTACCTTGCCTCTCTTCCCAGGGGAGTGTTCCCTGCCCAGCAAAGACCAGATCCCCAGAATCATGCCTCCCTCAGGTATCCAGATCCGGATTCCTAGAACATTGGGCTGTTAGCATTAGATGACAGTGGAGACTTTGCAGATGGGATTAAGGATCCTGAGATGGAGCAGACACTCAAAGTTATCTGAGTGGCCCTGAAATATGATCACAGTGTCATTGTAAGAGAGAGGCAGGGAAATTTGACTACAGAGGAAGAAGCAAGGTAACAAAAGCAGAGCGATTTGAATAGGCTGCACTGCTGGATTGGAGAAAGGAGGAATGTGCAGTAAACAGGAGCACTGTTCTCGGAAAGTGCTGGAAAAGACAAGGAAGCAGATTCTTCCCTAGAACACCCAGAGGAACCTTCAGTGAAGCTGACAATTTGACTTTAATTCTGCGAAATTGATTTTTGGACTTCTGACTCAAGAACCGTAAGAGAATAAATGCAGGTTGTTTTAAGCCACCAAGTCTGTAGGTATCTGTTATAGAAGTGACAGGACATGAATCCACCATCCCAATGATGCCATTTTGTTGCAGACATATGTGTTTGGCCCAAACACTTGGCTCCTTCAAATACCCTTTCTTCCCTGCATGAATTATCCATCACACTCTCCTGTAGGATCATTTTGAGCAATGCACAAATATTCTTGAGTATATCCCAACTCCCAAACTTTTTAAAGTCCCTTGACCTCACATTCTCCCCACCCGATTACTATCCCAATTCATTCGTTTTCCTTCCCAGCAAAATTTCTTTCAATAATTAACTGCATTTTATTTTCCATTTATCCTTTAACACATGCCACTTGGATTCCAGACGCACCATGCACCAAGTCTGCTCTTCCAAAAGTCACCAGGGATGTCTACGATTGCAGATTGGGTAAACGCTTCGCTCCGCTACCCTACCGGCACCATGTCCTCTCAGCTTCTCTCATCGGCTTGTTACCTGCTCATCACTCCCCAGGCTCCTTGACACAACCTGTCAATCTTGTTTGTCCAGGATTAACCTCCAACTCACTTTTCTCCTTCTACAAAGTCCAAAGGCGTGTATTTCCTGGGTGACCCCACTCATAGCCAGGATTTGAACATTATCTACATGCTGACGATACCGCAATTTGAATTATCTGCTGAGGCCTCTCTCCAAGCTCTGTCTACTCGATCCCTTCTCTCTCGTCTTCCATACAGGCTGGGCCAAAACCAAGCTCTTGGTGCCCCAGGGCGATCTGCTCATCCTTCAACCTCAGTAAGTTGTTTTCTTACTGTTTGTTCAGGCCAGAAAACTGGATGCAAACTCTATTCCCCTTTTTCTTATCCCCCCCCCTTATTTCCTGTGCAGTGTCTTGATGCTCCCAGGCCCCAATACCCGCATCAGCAAGCCCAGTCACTTCCAAATGGCTTACTCCTTTCTCCTGCCACCTGCTTACTTCTTGTCCACTACAGTAGTCACCCAGTTGTTATGCCTTACCCTTGAATCTTTCAAATCCTTCCCTCATACAACACTGGAATTGATCATCACACTTCTCTCAATTTTTATCCATGGCTTCCTATTCACATGCAATAGAATTCCAACTCTTTGTCTTGATTTCAAAGTCCTTGAGGAAAAGTGCCACCTCGACCCATGTTCCCCTACATGCTAGTTATGTGGGATGTTTTGAAATCCCTGCAAGCATTTCCCTCCCCAGGCCCTTTGCACTTGCTGTGCTGTTTGTCCCCCTCCCTTATCTTCTGTGGCTGGCCCTATTGCACCTCCAGGCCTCTGGCCCCCACATCACCTCGGGTGCCACCTCTCTGCAGCAGCCTCCCTCTGCCCACTGAGCTTCTCTACCACTGCACAATTGAGTTTCTGCCTGGCCCGTTT